CTACGAGGATTCTGCCGATTTGCTCTGCAGTACGGGTAAGTGGCTTGTTTTGATTTTACGTGGTGCAATGGCACAATACACACAAAAATCGGACTTGCAGTGAGCAAATTCCGCAAATTATTTTTGTTACAAATACTTGAATTTTTTCCCTGATATATCATTCATCTCATTACTCTTCTTTGCGAATTTCTGCAAACTCGCATTTGATCCTCTGTTTCAAATTGCTTAGATACTGTAAAATTCAACGAATTCTTGCATTAAGTGCGGATCTTGTGCCTATGTACAACTTTGGAGAAAACGATGTCTTTAACACTATCTCGAGCCCTAGAGGTACCGCTCTGAGAAATTTCCAGGTAGGTAGATATCAACGAAAGAAGCCTCCCCGGAAAATCACCTGACGCATTCAGGAATTTATCAAAAGTTGGACTGGTTTTTGCCCTCCGCTAGCAAATGGTCGCGGAATATTTAACTATACATTTAGCTTGCTGCCACATCGAAGACCAATTGCCACAGTCATGGGAGCACCGACAAGGTAGGCCGTTTCGAAAATTATACCAAAAAACCGGTAGCTATATTTTCCGTATTTAGGGTCGATCGAGTTGAGAATCCCACACGAGAAGAAGACAAACTACATGCAGAATATTGCAAAGCGCTGACGGAGCTTTTCGAAGCTCATAAGAGTTTACATAATGTACCAAACGATGCACATTTGACTATTTATTGATTTGAATTTTGTGTTGTATTAGGTTGTAACAGAATTAATGCAGGTTTTGAATTCAAACCGCAATGAGTCATGCACTTCTCATTTCTAAGTAGGTCGCAAAACAGCATTCGATAGAGCAAAGCAACCTCTACAAGGTGGCAATCTTGCTTTAGCAACAACTCTGATCCACCACGAGTTTCGAGCCAAAAACTAGAACGATTCAACTGTCCGAAAATTGAGAAAAATCGTAACTCAGTTCATAAAAAACTTACAAAAATTCTAACTTGCTCACCTAAACAGTATTCACATAAGACATCTATATACGCCTTTGCCGAATTTTTTTCTCTGTTAGAAATCAAGAAAACAGAAATTTTCGTGCGTTTGCCAAAGTGATGCTGTGCCGTTCCCACATAAGTAATTGTATACTACAAGCATGTAGAAGTACAAACGTGAATTTTCAGCTCTCTACAAGCTTTAGTTCTCGAGAAATTTGAATTTTAGCTTGGACCACATGACTAGCAAAAACTGTATTCGATATTTTTTGAGAACTAAAACTTGTAGAGAGCTGGAAATTCACGTTTATACTTCTACACGTTTGTAGTATACAATTACTTATGTGGGAACGGCAAAGGCCTTTATAAATTTCTTATGTGAATAGTGTTTACGTGAGTAAGTTAGAATTTTTGTAGGCTTTTTATGAACTGAGTTACGATTTTTCTCAATTTTTCGGACAGTTGAATCTTTTTAGTTTTTGGCTCGAAACTTGTGGTGGATCAGAGTTGTTGCTAAAGCAGGATTGCCACCTTATAGAGATTGCTTTGCTCTATCGAATGTTGTTTTGCAACCTACTTAGAAATGAGAAATGTATGACTTATTGCGTTTGGAATTCAAAACCTGCATTAATTCTGTTACAACCTAATATTTAAAGCAATAATTGATGACATATCTGTGCAGTGAATTGAAATTTGTGTATTTTTGCCTAAATAGAAGACGGAGTGCTACTATTTTACTTTGTAGAAGTACTCATTTCTTCTATCTTCATTTTATACTTACACTCCAGGTGCACCAAAAGAAGAGAATTAGACCATTATCTACTAAGCCACAATCAGTCACATTGCAGAAATAAGAATGTAATAATAAAAGTCTTCAAACTCCAAACCTGAACGTGCGAATTATTAGGTTATCAAGAAAATAATGTTTTTTTTTCGGGTTTTTTCGGGTAAAGTTGATATTACAACTAGAGCATAACCGAGGCCAAAATTTTATGGTTAAAGTCATGAAGCTTTGTAGTATACAAAGGCGTGTGTGGAAGGATCCCAGTACTAATGGGGGGCTGAGTCTGCCATTTTTCATTTTTCAATTTTGGTTTCTAAGCATGGAAGAAGTATAGCAAGTGTACCCATGGATAAGCGCATGTGTCTTTTACATGCAGGAGCAAGTGAGAGGTTTGCAGGATTTTCTGGGGCAAAAATCCAATTTTTGGCATCACCAGTTGCTCGTATATTTTGCTTTGAATTTTGCGCAAACGACCAGTTCTGCCAATGTTCGGATGTCATTTTGTAGAGCTCCCTTGCTCTATCGAATGGTACCCCTCACATATTTTTTTGGATTTGTCTTATGGCTTTGCCATGAAAAACGACATTATTTTCTTGACAACCTAATATGATCGCGCCACGCAAGCCTCTCCTCTTGACAGGGTACGAGAAAGCTGCTCGATGCGTTATCGGGAGCGATCATAATTCGCGCCTAGACCTCTCCTGCTGGGCGCGTTGCCAAGCCAAGGGCAGCGGAGCGGCGGCGCAAACAGCGGTGAGTGCCCTTCAAGTTTCGTTTGTTATCGATTTTCTCTGATTGCAATCGTGCTGGCAGCGTTTCCAATAGCTCAGTTCCTGCAGATGATGGGTGGTCTAGCTTTTGGTCATATTTGTGTGAGGAGACGCGCAGCTAGTAAATGTAGTTCGCCGTGTGGATGGATAAGACTCAGGGCCCTGCACGAGTCCGTTTCTAGGCTTTTTGGAAACAAAGTACGCCCTGACTTTCGAAAATTTCAAGGAATCCCCTTTGACCCTTGCTCTACCCCCCCCCTCCAACCTGGTCAAATATTTTCCGGGTTGAGTCCGAGAGTTAAACAAAAATATCACAGCATTCCTCCATGACCATCATTCGGCTCTGCATATCACGATAGCAGCAACCAAAGATGGAAAAATTTCAACTAGTTCTTGAAAGGCAGGGGTATTCAAAATTTCGCTAGAGTATATGAAACTAAGAAAAGCACTGAGTTTACTTTGCGACTTCCTACATAAGCAGCTTTCTCGGGGTGTGAAAAGATAAGCGACTCAGGAGTAGATTTCCTGCTTGATATAGTGTCCCTGCTGACGCGACAACGCTTGGCGTTAACAATTGCCATTGCGAGGTTCAAGTATTTTCTAGTATTCTCCAACTTCACTCTTTGCTTTTTAGGTTAGGGTTGCTGATAAAGGAGAAAAACGTAAGTGGAGGAGTTCTTTCTACTATATGGCGTCAAACCATCGCTTATTCTCACGTATCCGCGTGGAGGACACGTCGCGAGGGTCGTCGCATGCTTGTGCATTTTTATGCTTCTTCAGTTTTATGTGTATTTTTCTCTTTAAAAAGATTTTTTGAAACGGTAGTAGGGGTAGGGAACATGAATAATTTTGGCAGAACACAAGTTGCTCCGGTCGTATAGAAGATAAACATAAGTGTGACATCAATAGTGTAGCAGCAAAACATTCAAATGTAAATGTCAGCAAGACCGCACAGCACCAGCGAGATTTGGTTTCCTCCTAGGAATCTAATCAACTTTCGGGCAGACCGGTGCGAGGTAGATGACACTAGGTGTATAAGAATGAAGAGGAAACCTTCTTCATTCGCAGCGGAAATCTGTCTACTCCATTGATGTGGTTTGGTGGGAGTGAACCACATCAATGGAGTAGACAGATTTCCGCTGCGAATGAAGAATCAACAGTCAAACCAGTGAACAAGAGAAATTTGAAGAACTAGAATCCGTAATGTATAGCAGATTCTGCAAACTTCGACTTTTTACCCCAAACATCAATACCATGACGATGAGGAAGAACGAAACGATCGCAGCACACATTCTATAAATAGCCTGACAGTAGCCCTCGAACAATTCATCCCCGCATACTCACTCAGTCCTTGACAAAACCATTTACCTGCTGTGAGCAGAAATTTCGCAATTTCAGGTCAAACTCTCAAAGAAAAATCACAAAATCACGAGTTTTGCTTCATAAAGCCCTACATGGTCGCAGAATAGATCAAGATTAAATTAACGAGCAGAAGAAAGACGACGAAGAAGAAAGAGTAATGAAAGAGATCATCAAAATATTGAAAAAAAGCTGGAACTGAAAACGAAAATTCAAAGGGAGAGGATGCAGAAAAGTTCACGCTAGGGCGCAGTATCTAACAAGGCGATTTTCGGAAAAAAGAGGTTAAAAAACGGCGGACAGAGGGCGATATGAAGCTGTTTCTATGCTTAGGGATAGCCTTCAACTAAATGAAGTCACTAAAAGCAGCCAACTTGGTAGACGAGATTCGCTTGCTGTCACGTATTTGATACTACCTCGTGTGCTTTATAGTGACGGCACATAATTTCTTAATGTAAAAGTCTGAAAACAATTATGAGTATTTTACATGCGAACAATGTATATACTGAATTACCAGTGGCGTACTCAGGATTTCGGCTCGGGGGGGGGCTACAAAAAATTTTTTCCGATGAAGGTGCGTGGCTTCAGCCACGCACTCCGAAAAGTGTGTTCTCTAAAATTTTCGCGGGCTCAGAAACCCGAGATTTCCAAAAAAGAGTGCGTGGCGCAGCCACGCCCCAATATTTTTTTTATAGGGCTAAAATGAATTTTTAAAGAATTTTAAAAATTATTCTAATTATTTAAAAGTACAAGCAAGTCATTTGCGCATTTATATAACTCATGTAAGTAACCTTCAAAAATTTCGCGAATCGTTCGGGGAGGGGGGGGGCGCCCCTCCCCCTCCGCTCCCCCTCGGTACGCCACTGTAAAATACTCAATTCAGGGTGCTAAATTTGTTAATCTTTTGCAGTCGCTAGGTATAGTTACTGGTTTATACGATAGAAGATTTATTATGCAAAGCGGAAAACTTTTCAGGCATGACGTTTGTCGAAGTCTACGGCAGCAGGTGGCATTAATTGATAATAGGAAGGGAGAAATTGAAGACAGCAAAGTCGTAGTAATATATCCGAATAAGAAGGTTGAGAAGTGTCTTGTTGTTGAGCAAGGCCTGCTCAAGATCCGATCGCCTTTTTGATCCTTTGGTCGTATGGGGAGAGCTTCCAACTGAAAACGAGGTTAGCCCTAACGACAGTAAAAGACACACTTTTTTAGTGAAATCCAAAGTGAAAGGCTAGTGGCTGTATGCATTAAGGAAGTTTACAAGCTACTATATTTAGCTTTTCTGAAAGTCACTTCTTTATTTACTTATTATCTTTCACATTGTCTTGAAGTGTTTTTGTGCCAAGCAGTTTATCAGAAAATCTGATTTTGGCATGGCTTTTAATAGGGCCTGGGCTCAAAGGCAGTGTCCAGTCAAATCTGGGCATATGGGTTTTTGCCTGCAAACTGAAGAGGAGGTTTTAGTTATGGCACTGCCCAAACAGCACCACAAATAATTCATGCATGGCTGAGAAATTCATTCCAAACACTCCGCGGCTGTGCCGTGACCGTAACACTTGAAATGGGTCCCAGCGCAAACGTAGTGTTAAGGTGAACGGAAGCCGTTTTCGGGTCACGGTTACAGCGCAGGCGCGGGGTTTTAGGGGACGGATTTTTCAGCCGTGAATGAACAAGTTGCGCTGCCCCTTGGGCAGTGTTTTAGTCAAAACACCCTCATCAATTTCCAGGCGAAAAGCCTATGCGCCCAGATTTCCTAGACACTTCCTCATGGATCCTGGAAAGGTCTAAAGCTCTTTTGAGGAACAGTGCAAAGTAGACAACTTTTCCGATCCTGCTAATTCTCAATCCTCAAATTCCCGAAGACGAACATACCGCTTTGAATCGTGCTATGCGGTCAGCACTGAAGGTAAGTTTCATGCAACCATTGAATCTTACAGAAAGGATGACTGAAGGTCGAAAAGTAGCAGGAGTGGAAATAGTTCTTTATGGCGACCTTCGTAAGGATTCTATGAGCCAATTTCAAAATTCTGGGGAAGACAGAAGGCGTTGCCCTAGCTTTTACTGGTAGTAAAGATCTGGGACCTGTGCGGAACAGATCACTTCAGAAAATTAGCAATGGCAGATTAGGGAAGTGGACTTGAAGAACTAACAAGGGAAGGATACCAACATTAGTCGGCCATTGAAGATGAGATATATATCAGGACGCCCCTTTGAACGCTGATTACAAAACTGCTTTCTTTTTTTGCGGAATAGTTTCCGAAAGAAGTTCTGGGCGTTCAAATGCCCAAATTTGTCATGATTTAGGTGGCCTAAAATTGGCGAAAACCTGTATAAAAACACCGAAAAGTGGAAAATCATTTCTGTATTGAGTATATTATTTGCAAGGAAGGAAAAAAGCTGGTGGAAATCGCATAGGTGTTGTTTTAGAGCTTTTCGCTGATTTTAAGCCACTCAGTACTTGGCAAATCTGGACATTCAAACGCTCTTCTTAACTTCTTTCGGATTACTCCTCAAAAAAGGAAAGCATATTTGGAATCAGCGTTCAAAGGCGCATCTAATGATATACATCTCATCTTCAATTGCCAGCTAATGTTGGTATCCTTCCTTTGTAAGGTATGATAGGTATAAGGTATTGTAACAACAGTAATGACATAAACTTTCCTTACTGAGTAGCTGTCTGTGTATCTCTTCTCTATGATAGTCGGGAACATTGGCGATGCAAAAGATTGAATGAAGTATCTGCGCGTATCTCATAGTTCCCTCTTCATCTTCGCCTTGGCGTAGTATGATGTAGTCATTGATGTGATTGTAGAAATTGCAATACCTAGTTACATATATTACTTACTTTTTTGGCACATCTGCAGTTACGAAAACTTTATGGAAGTCATGAAGCATACCAACTCTGGGGTGCGAAGTGCACAACTTCGTACTCATAGGTTAAATTTCTATGCGGTAGTCCTTTTGAGCTTTCTTCATAATAATTGTATAAATAGATATATAATCTTTCTACAAAGCAATTCAAATTGTCGCTACATCTAAAGCAACGTCTTTTTACCCTTCTGGCTTCGCTGAAAGAGAAATTTTGAATAGGAACTTTGATAGTGTGGAAGACATAATTTCATATGGTGTGGTCGTTTGCGCATATATGCAACAGCCCAAAACGAGTCTGTATAGAAGGCCATAATCTAGATGTAGGATCGCTTACATGATGACCTGACATTACTGACACCACTTAGAGCAGACAATAATTCCTTTATCTTTGCGCTTTCTAAGATTGACGGGAGTGATATGTAATTGATACCGCACGCATTTGTCCACATAGCCACTGATGAATCTTTGCAAAGGGTCTCGTACGGTAACGAACTGCACTCTTGGACTTCCAACTTTGTGAATTGCTTTCTCGTAGTCCAAGTACCTATTTTGTTCGCCGCAAAACCTAAATATTTGGCTATCAAGCAGACGTTTCTATAAGTCAACAGAGAATACTGATGCAAAGCTAGTCGATATATTAGCATGCAAATAATCTATAAAAGAACGTTTAGCTGCATCAAATGCAACTTTGCTTAGTCAGTCTGGCTGCCGTTATGGGATACTCACAAGGGAAGGATACTTGGTGATCGTGGTCTTTTGAAGTGAAACGTAAACCACCAATGCATCATAAAGCGCTGACCTCAAATGTGCTTTCGGTATCCGCTCTGTGCTCCTCTGAAAGAAGTCATGAACATTCCCTTCCACCAATTGCACTGTTTTGATGACAGGACTCACCAATAACGTTAGAATGTTTTCTTACGCACTACAAAAGAGCGTTCAAATAAAATAAAGCTTTACGTTGAGATCAGAAAAACTCTCTCCGATATATCAGAGTCTAAAAAGCCTGTGTACCGACAACTTGACCGCCTAGACCTTGTGAAGTGTGAAAAAAGTCCATAACTTCATTCAGAGAATCGCACAGCAGATAATGAACATAGATTTGGAATCAGCGTTCCAGGGCGCATCTACTGAATATTAGGTTGTCCGGAAATCAATGCCCGTTTTGAATTTCAACCGCAATAAGTCATATATTTCTCACTTTTAAATAGGTTGCAAAGTACCGTTCGATAGAGCAAAGCAAGCTCTACAAGATGGCCATCTTGCTTTAGCAACAGCTCTCATCCACCTAGAGTTTCGAGCCAAAAAAAGACTTAGCAGCCCGAAAAATCGAAAAAAATCGTAACTTGGTCCATAAAAATCCTACAAAATTCTAATTTGCTCACGTAATTACTATCCACATAAAACATCTATATACGCCTTTGCAGTATTTTTTCCTCTGTTAGAAATCAAAAAAACGGAAATCTTCGTGCATTTGCCAAAGTGGTGCTGTGCCGTCCCCACATAGGTGTTTGTATACTACAAAGCTGTAGAAGTACAACCGTAAATTCTCAGCTTTCTACAAGCTTTACTTCTCGGAAAATTTGAATTTTAGCTTGGACCATCTAAGTAGGGAAAGCTATATTCGGTATTCCTCGCGAACTAAAACTTGTAGAGAGCTGAAAATTTACGTTTTACTTCTACAGGTTCATAGTGTACAACTACTTATATGGGAACGGCATAGCATCACTTTGGCAAATGCACGAAAATTTCCGTTTTCTTGATTTCTAACAGAGGAAAAAATACTGCAAAGGTGTATATAGATGTTTTATGTGGATAGTAATTACGTGAGCAAATTAGAATTTTTGTAGGATTTTTATGGACCAAGTTACGATTTTTTTCGATTTTTCGGGCTGCTGAGTCTTTTTAGTTTTTGGCTCGAAACTCTAGGTGGATGAGAGCTGTTGCTAAAGCAAGATGGCCATCTTGTAGAGCTTGCTTTGCTCTATCGAATGGTACTTTGCAGCCTATTTAGAAGTGAGAAGTGTATGACTTATTGCGGTTGAAATTCAAAACATCAATTTCCGGACAACCTAATACATCTCACTGCAAAAGACCACGGTCAGAAAGTATCCTTTCCTTGCCGCTGCTACTCGAGAACACTTTCGGATCTTCGTTGTACATGAACGAAATCATTTTAAAAAACGAGAGTAGACAGTTTAAGTTAAGTAGACAGTTTTTGCTGCAATTCAAAAAGATTGCAATCACAGAGGTTTTATTCTAGGCGGTAGCGGCTAATTGTTACTATGTATACCTACGGAAAGAGAAGCATCTGTCCATTTACAAGGAACAAAAATCAAAATGTGTAAACGTTTTTGTCATAAATAATTGTGCGTTTCTTGAAGGTAACTGTTGTATAGGTTGTGCAAAATAAGCACAGAGCAACAAAACTAATGGCTATACACAAAGGTAATTGAAACAAAGCTTATTTTTCCTTCTGTTTTTGTTTTCGGAAGCAAGAGTGCAATGCTACTTTATGGATACTTCGAGAAATCCTTGATGTTTCTGCACTTTTTATATGCTATTAGGTTTGAAATAAAAAACTTTTCCCTCACTTTAGCGATTTTCAGCGGCTTTGTTGATCAGTTTCATGCGAGTACATTACTTTCTGCGTATCTCACCTTGTGTTAGCATCTTCGTTGCTGATGGTACGCCCATTGTTTGCGAATTCGGTAGTATTGGTAAGATAGCAGAAGATAGCATCAATGGTCGTACTCATTATTTTTTCAATTACGCACGCAGAAATATGATATTTTGGTGCTATCTGAAATAGCGTTAGAAGAAGGTGATATAACAGTTCCGGGTTTTGCCATTACAACTACTCCGGACTTCATCGTTTCAAGGTTGTATTGAACGCAGTGCATATCTTGCCAAGGCAAGACTCTGTTGTTACTTCCCAAGACTCGAAGTTTTTCGAATCTGTGCTTGTCGAGTATGTGAGCTTGTCATTATGTTTGATGCGGGCTAATCTTCGCTTATATTCGTCTGCATGTTTGAGTGTTGCCTATTTTGTATAATAAGTTTCGCTATTTTCGCTTTAGTTTCCTCAATACTCTAAGACACATTTGATAAAATGCATGCACAAACAAGCTTTGATTTCAGTCTACAAAAACATCTGATCATTCCCCATTTTGAAACTCAGAAAATTTTGGCTCTTGAAATATCCTAAATGCAAAAATATATGTTCGGCATTTCTTCAGATTTACCCTTTTTCCATAGGTGCGATAGTGTGAGAATTTGCTCCCCCCCCCCTCCCCTTCACCCCTGAGCCGAGACCATGGTGACCCGCTTCACCATAAGCCGAGAAAAAAATCAACAGGGTAAGGTCAAGCAAAGGAGATATTTGTACGATAACTGTTTGTGAATCGGAAAGGAGGAAGAAGTAGGCATTCATGAACTTAGGAGGAAAAAAATGGTAGCTTCTGTAGGTGCACTGCAAGTAAGCGAGGAAAGTTCCGTGGTACAACGTTCCCAACCTGATTTCAGGGAATAAATTCTTTGCCTAGAGTCCGTTCATAGAAGTACCTAGTGAAAGGTGTGCTCGGTGATTTTTGGACACTTACGAGTTTTCAACATGAAAAAAATCATATGTTTTGTAGATGAATAGCTGGTACAAGGAAATAGTGACCATAGAAACCGCCTCGTCCTCCGCTTTCAAGAAATATCCAGCATGTCTGAAATCCGTCCAAAAAAGTGCCTGGGTGAAGGGTGTCCTAGTGATTCCTGTAGATTTTCGAGTTTTTAACATAAAAAATTCATAACTTTTGTAGATGAACATCTTGTACGCCTAGATGGCCACCATTAGAACCGTCTCGTCCTCCGCTTTCAGAAAATATATACTTTGCACAAAGTTCGTTACAAAAAATGCAGGGTAAATGGTGGGTGAGGCTCTTATAATGGAGGTTCTCAGGTGGAGCCTTTTTTACCATTTGTAAAAGGACGTCTACTTGAGAACTCCCATTATGAGAGTCTCACCCACCTTTCACCAGGCATTTTTTTCAACGGAACCCAAGCAAGCTACATATTTTATGAAGGCGGAGGACGAAGTGGTTCCAATAGTGACCATCTAGGCTTACAAGATGTTCATCTACAAAAGTTATGAATTTTTTTTTATTGAAAAACTCGAAAATCTCCAAAAATTACTAGGACACCCTTCACCCAGGCTCTTTTTTTAACGGGCCTTAGGCAAAGTATATATTTTCTGAAAGTGGAAGACGAAAGTCTCGTCAAGAGACGGTTCCAGTGGTGACTGTTTCCTTGCACAAGTTGTTCATCTACAGAAGTTACGGATTTTTTACCCTAAAAACGTAAATATCCAGAAATCACAACCCACACCCTTCATCAGGCCTTTTTTTTTCAGCGGAACCCAAGCAAGCTACATATTTTCTGAAAGCAGAGGACAAGGCGGTTCCGATGGTGTCCACCGCGATGTACAATGTTCATCTGCAGAAGTTATGGAATTTTTTCATTTAGAAGTTCGTAAATCTTTGGCAATCACTATCCACGCGCTTCACCAGGCATTTATTTTCAAAGACCTCGAACAAATTATATGATTTCTGAAAGCGAAATAAAAGATGGTCTGACAACAAATTCCTTTTTGACGTTGCTGTTCATCTACAGAAGTTTTGAATTTTTTTCAATTCTTTCAAAAATTCGCAAATGCTCAAAAATCGTCTACCTCTTTCCCGAAAGAGAAATTCGCATACGCATCTTCTACTTCATGTTATTTTGGAAAACAGACAGGTGGTTTTGATCCTACTTCAGTCTTCACATTAAAAAAAAGACAACAAATGATGGCAGAGAATTGATGGTAAAACGTTGAGCAAGAAAAATGATGAGAGAACACCATCACTCTGTCCTCCCCCCCCCTCGCCTCCCTTATCAGACTAATTACCACGCGCCTTTGATTGGTCGGCGCTGCCACAGGCACTGGTTGAAGCAATTGGAAAAGAGTCAGGTCGCCGTAAAAGACGCAGACGCGCGATTTGGGCGAGTTGCGCTAGCACATTCTCGAATCTCAGTCCACTATGGGAAGAATTAGAGAAATGCTTGATTATTTACTCGTCACATCAGAAAGTATTGGGTGAGGTGGATTTTATACACATAACAGAATTCACAGTTTCACTGGGAGGTAAAAAAAATTTGAAAAACATTGATCGCAATTAGCGAAAGTTAATTTAGCTTTACCTGTTCTTCCGATGCCATGAACCAAAAACCTATGAAGTCGAAAGAGTCAATCGGAGTTAGTAGAAAAATGGTACTATGCTTCGCGGATAAGCATAAAACTGGCAAAAGCAAAGAGGTGGCTTCTTTGAGCACTTATCAAACAGATTATATTAGGAACCATATTAGGAACTCAAATGTTATAGAAACTTCTTCAATTCAACAGGCAAAACATTCGCAAGTGCAAGTTGGCTGTGGGACAGCTAATTAGCGCTGAGATGGGCGATTCAAAAAAGATACATCCCCTCCCATTTCAATATGAAAGCTTTACAACACCTCCAATTTTTTTGGTTCAGAGGAATGAAGCAAGGATTAGATCAACAACAGAACATAGAACAAGAGCGTCCAGAAGCACATGTAAATTTCAATGCACAATACCCAAAACTTTCAAGAGAAAATTGATAGAAAAAGCGAGAGAACTTGCTGAACAATTCAATAGTTAGGACAACTTAGCAAGCATGATTATAAGTGCATCGTCCCCTCTTTCTTGTTTAAATTGCATCTAGCTTCTTTTATCGTAATATACTCACAGCTAATTTTCACGGTTTGCTACCGTACAACGTCACTATTTAATATTGCTTATTTGCTGGTGTTATTCGTCATGTCAATTTTCAGACCTAGTTAGCGATAAATATTCAGTTTCAATTTTGCGTTGTCGCTGAGCACGGTATCTAAACTAAGAGTCGGGGTTGGCAGAAATTTCCTTAGCGAACCGCTGCAGTCGGCCTAAACACAGTTCGCCCGTATACAGCTACGATGATCACATTACATTTGGTATGAGGTAGGGAGCTTAGGAAGTATAGAACATATGAAAATCGAACTACATAGCTGTTTCGAAACTCATGAACTTACCCAACATAGTCAATTTTAATTTTCCTATATATTTGGTTGCGATAATTTTGATTGCGCTTTTTTGAAGCTGCACTTTTCCGACTTTGCTGGTAACGATGTTGAGCGTCTATAATACCTTCGTGGGCATGCAGTTTACTTCAAAGTCAAGGGTGCTACGTGGTCTTTACAATGACTTGCGGGCCTGCCTGTAGACAGGTCATGCTTTGAGCCTTTTAAATCACTCCAGTACTAATTTGCCGCTTCCAGAGGGTAAAGGGCACTTATCAAATTAGATCACATTGGATTATGATGGCCTGTCATGCCATCACACCATTCTCCGCGACTAATGAATTTCTGCTTTGATAGCTAGAGGTTTGAAACGAGTGCCGCCAAAAATAGCCTACCTCCATCGTGGCTCTGTAATTCAAAAAAGGTGGTATGAGATCACTTGTATTGAAAGTTCCAATGCCTTGCTCCAGAATTTTGATGCCATCGGTTGAATAGTTTTCGTCAAGTGCTAAAATACTGCGATAAAGAATGGGAGGTTACTTAAGTGAAAGTACATTCGTTAATAGGTGTGATACTGTGCTCGCAATTGATCTTCTCAGCAAGTTGGCTCTTTTCTGAAATAAAATGCATTTGAGGTGAGTTTTCTAAAATTTTTCCATGGAAAGGGGTGTGGCAGTTTTTTAGCATTATACCGCGCTATCCTTCGAAAAGTTTGGAAGATCTCATACTAGGATCGATAAAGATGTTATTGCATCGTTTTCTTAAACGACTGAGACTCTTTGACTTAGGTAAATTTCTGGGTGTAACTATCTACCCGGCTACAGAGTAAATGTAATACCGCTAAGCTCTGTACATTATGACGAAGACTGCCTTGCCTTCCCTACTTCTAATCCTCTGTCACTGCCACACTTCTACATGCCCACCTCTACTTTTATTTTTTAGAACAGCGGATTAATCTCCTATCCCCCCCCCCACGCCCCACCCGCTTCCGCTGCCCCTTCCCCCTTACCAACACCCGGAATAGTGTATATACACAAAAAACACAACACGCCACGAAACAAGGGATTTATCCCATTACTTGTGAATGGCGATTATCGCTTCGCCGCTCTCGGCAAGGCGGCCTCAATGAGCGCTTGGATAACTCGTACAGTGGGGTACGCGACGCTTTGGCTCAAGTACGCGGCTTAGCATTGGAGCAGGAAATGGACGTGTAGTCCGCGCTGGAGCTGGCATGGTTATCGCCGCGCGGCAATCCACTCACAAGTAATAGGCGCCCCTCCCCCCCCCCCCCCTCCCCCGAAACATAGGAACTAAAAAAGGAAGACTTCAGAAAGATGAAGATTTGCAGCTTATGAAAGCAAGCTAAGGGCGGGTACGAGAGTGGCAGACGTCAAGATAAAAATCATATAAGGGTAAAAATACTAGGAGTATCGGAGATACGTCGGTATGCACATATCCTTTGAACATGTCCGGATCTTGACGAACAAGCTTTCATAGGAGTAACGTATCGAAACCATACCTTCGATACATAGAGCCATGTACTTTAGTGACCATTAATCTAACAATAATAGAAAGCACAACCTTCATCTGCAAAAGACAAGAAAATACCTGGAGCAAAGCCCCGGATACTAAATTGAAATCTCAGAATCATATTAG